AAAAGAAGAAAGAAAACTAAGATGTTTGTTTTTCTTTACGTGACTTGCAAGAGATTTGCACATTCGAAGGTCAAACTAAAAAATGATTAGAATACTATTCATGTTTCTAGATATTACTTAATAATAAAATATTTCTCAGACTTCAAAATATCACGTGTAAAGAAAATAGACATAAATGACATAAATTTGAACTGAATTCATATATAACTGTGAAGCATTATCTGTGCAAATTAGAGTTACATTAATGATAGAAAAATGCATTCTTAATAATTTGATTAATAAATGTCAATGTGTCGAAATATATTAATAATTTAAAAGGCAGTACATAACATATAAACGTCGTAATTCCGTGCATTACCTAATATAATGTGGGCACTCGATTGATTAGACTGATATGAATATGAGTAGTATCATTTTTTATTTTAATAATTGAACTGAAAGAACTATATTCTCATCCTATATCTATAATAAGATATAAATTAATCTACAAGTATTTAGTTTACATAACTTCTAGACATTTGTTAAAACAAAACATTATTGCCAAACATAATCAGATTATCAATAAAGTAAGTAACAAAATTTAAGCAATAAAAATCGTTTGATCTTTTGTACTTTTATACTATAATGGAAAATAATATATTGTCATAACCTTTCGAACAGTTTATTCGCATTTATGTATGATTTTTTAATTTAGAATAATTTGTTTATAATCTATTAGTAGTTCTATGTTGACCTCATCGAACATAGATTAGCATCTTTTATTATTGTAAATTAATATCTTTGCCAGAATTAATGAGAGGGCAAGTCTGGGTTCAATACCTAGACGATGTCAATAATTAACGATCTGTGACTTTCAAAATTCTAAAGACAAGAACTCTGGACGTCTTTGTATATGATACGATATAAGAGAAAAAATGATTTTAAAAGTCATCATCTTTTCAAAATATTCAAAAAAAGAAGTGCATGAAAATGATGTTTCTTTTCAAGGAGATTTACTAAAAATCAACAAGATTTTATATAATTTGATTGGATAGATATCCAATTTTATTTTCTCAGCATTGAAATATGATAAGATAATTATCTGAATCATACTTTGGACTATATATCTGAAGTAGATGTCAAAATCAAAATTACATCTAAACGGAACATTATTTTCAAGTATTTTTTTTTTGAATGATTTGAGAAGATGATGAGTTTTCAAATAAATAGACGTCCGGCTTTCTTCTCTTTCGATTGCTGAAAACAGCACATCGTTAATTATTGACGTCATCGAGGTATTGAGTTTACACTTACCTTGTCTTTAATTCTGGCACGGACATTAGTTGACTTACATTAGTTAGACAGCATTCATTCTTGAATGAGAGCTGAATTGATTGTTTTGTATCTTTACATTTGTACATCTTAATGACGAACTCTTGTACTTTCAAATTTTTCGATGCAGTTCAATCTAATCAAAATCACTATTGTAAATCTTAGTTTGAGTATTAAATTTGTATACAAACTTTTATCACTTCTTTATGTAATGAGCTATTGTTCTGATTTGATTGAATGTCAACGGTTACGTATGTACCAGTATCAGTACTATACTTGTCCATCAATATTGAGACTAGTTATCATTCATAAAAGAACTTCTCTTAACAGTTGGATTTGTCGTAGAATTTCATGAAAAATCAATTTTGATGCAGTGTAACATAAACTGTTAATATAAGTTAAGTTTACCTAATCTTTTTCATCATTTTTAGTTAATTGACAAATGTCAGTTCGATTACTGTATAAATCAGAAAATCCGGAATCGCACTTAGTTTCTTGCAAGTTGATTGAGTGCGATTCCGCATTTTCTGGCTCATACAATAATCAAACTGACATTTGTTAATTAACTAAAAATGATAGAAAAGATTAGATAAACTTAATTAATATTAACAGCATATGTTACACTGTACCAAAATTGATTTTTCACGAAATTCTACGATAAATCTACTTGTCAAAAAAAGTTTTTATGTAATTGATAACATGTGTCAATACTGATACTCAATATACTCGTATTGATACATGTCTATCGATGGCATATTACTGATATTTATATCCATCTATCATTCGTTGTTGAAAATATTAATATTGAACTTATCATTCATTTACATTGTTTCATAGAAAAAAAAATCATCATTTGATATTTATCACTATGGATATATTTGTTCGTTTGACATATTTCTTCTATGCAAAATTGTGACATGAACTTGCATATGCTTCATCAGCTGAATTAGAACGTTGATTATCTTCGGATCATGATGACCATTTTTTCATTTCCACCAACACATATACTTATCAGTGAACTAGATAATGCTATTGAATGATATTTCTTTGGTTCAGATGTTGATGCATTTGATCATTATATAGATAATATGGACTCTATTATGCTTATCTATATAGATTTATTGAACATAATCTTGTTAGAATAAGATGAATACAAGTGCTGGTATGTAGAATATCTTCCTCTATCGCGTTATGAGTAAAAGAAAAGAGAAGAATAAGTAGATCATCAACTTCAAAAAGAAAAGATTTCATTCAAAATAAACACTATTCTATATTATTAATTTTTATAACTTCCTTTTTTTTTATCATAGTAGACAATCGTTGATACTAACACCAATGATGAAACGTCGAAAATAAGGATCTAGATACATCTTTTTATGTTTTTATAACTTTCTCTATTATTATATAAGGCAATGATTAACAAAAGTATCAATGATGGAAAAAATTTATCATGTAAAGAAATGGGGTTGGAGATCGTAATGCAATAAAAAATGATGCGGCGATAATATTCGATTCAACTGTAAAACTTCGTCATAAAATCATATTTTTTTTGTTTTCCAATTTTTATTAACACTGGATTTTTTGTTATGATTGTATTAAATCAAGAGAAATACATTTCAAAAAATATTCTTATTTCAATCATCGACTTATATCTATCCTATCAAATTTTAAAGTATATTTATGTAATAAAAACACACATAAACAAAAGTGTTATAAGATAAAACTAGTATTGCATTCGATGTGAAAACCGCGAAGACGGCGTTCCTCCAAAACTCGAATTGGCTCTCATTGATTTTTTCGTTATTGTATCATGTACTGTATATCTATGTATCCCAAAAATAGATGTTCGTCCCTCTGGAAGAGAAAACCTGGATAAAGCCTGCCTAAATTGTTTTTGAACACTCAATCTCCTTAGAAATCTATCTGTATATAAAACAATTATTAAAATTCTGATGCTTTTCATTGTTCTTGATTCGTCAACATTCAGTTTTATTATAATAAATTGAATTAGATCTTTTCTTGTAAACCAAATATCTTTAGTAATAATATTATTGATATCGTATAATCATTATCAACTACAGTACTAGTCAAAAATATAAGATTAATGTATTTTTAAGGTGTTTTTTACAATATCAAGTCTTTAACTCAAATTCAAATAGTGTTTTGAATAGACAATGAAGTTCTCTATCAAATGCATTCCATATCAAAATTTAATATATGGACTATGAGAAGGAGGTTTATCAAAAACCCAAGCATAGTAGTTTTCAGGCTTCAGAAAATTGTGTGAAAAGTAGTTTTTTAAAGAGTATCATCTTAATCCTCGAGTGCTATTCTCATTTTGTTGCACAATGGATGTTTTGTGAGTACAGTCGGATCTATACGTAAATGAATCGAAGATCTTTGTCATAATCCTTTAAGGTATGAAAATGCCGTTATAGCTCCTGATATATGAAAACATTTGTAATTTAAGAGATATTTTTCTAAGACATTATAAAAACAGTATCGTGTTAAAATATAATGGAAGAAACTAGGATTAGAGATCTGATTACAGTCCAAGCGAGTAAATATCCTCACATGTATCCATATATTAATCCACTCATATTAAAAGAGTGCATAGCGCTAGCATGGAATGTGCATGCGAATATCAGTCTTCTCCTTACATTCCACATTTCATCCTTAACAGAAATCACTTAATGACATGTGGAACATTTTCGACATTGTTTCTTTCGATCAAATTGATACATACCGTTTAAACTACTAGTTAGATTTGAGTTAACGATGAATAAAATAGAAAAGTTTTGTTAGAGTATATATTATTCTTATATAAAAACAAAATTTCTAGGTTTTTGTCTGTTTTTATTCACACTTCGTGATTGAAATAAAAGAAGAAAAATAATAACAGTCAAAGAGTTAGGGTGTTGGCGAATTAAATGTTCGATGAATTTTGTTTAAAAATTCATTGTTTTATTTTCAAGATATTGATACATATAATCATTAGTATCTTTTTCTTCAATTTTTTCCCAACCAGTTTCTTTCATATGATAAACTATAAAAATAAATATGAAAGATTACAATATAATTATTGAATAACAAAAATTAATAATTACTTCGAACGATGTTGCCTGA